TGACACAATAGGCATTGCGATGCGAAGAGCTTTGCTTGGAGAAATTGAAGGAACATGTATCACACGTGCAAAATCTGAGAAAATACCACACGAATTATCTACTCTAGCAGGTATTCAAGAATCAGTGCATGAAATTTTAATGAATTTGAAAGAAATTGTATTGAGAAGTAATTTGTATGGACCTCGTGACGCATCCATTTGTGTTAAGGGTCCGGGATATGTAACTGCTCAAGACATCATCTTACCACCTTCCGTGGAAATCATTGATAATACACAACATATCGCTAGCCTAACGGAACCAATTGATTTGTGCATTGAATTAGAAATCCAGAGAAACCATGGCTATCATATAAAACCACAAAAAAAATTTCAAGATGGAAGTTTTCCTATAGATGCTGTCTTCATGCCCGTTCGAAATGCAAATCATAGTGTTCATTCTTATGGAAATGGAAATGAAAAGCAAGAGATCCTTTTTCTCGAAATATGGACCAATGGAAGTTTAACTCCTAAAGAAGCACTTCATGAAGCTTCCCGGAATTTGATTGATTTATTTATTCCTTTTCTACATGCGGAAAAAGGGAGCTTACATTTAAAAAAAAATCAACATAGGATTACTTTACCCCTTTTTACTTTTCATACTAAATTGGCTAAACTAAGAAAAAATCAAAAAGAAATAGCATTCAAATCGATTTTTATTGACCAATCAGAATTGACTCCTAAGATCTATAATTGCCTCAAAAGATCTAATATACATACATTATCGGACCTTTTGAATAACAGTCAAGAAGACCTTATGAAAATTGAACATTTTTGTCTAGAAGATGTAAAACATATATTGGGCATTTTTGAAGTAGAAAAGCATTTCACAACGGATTTGCCAAAGAAAAAATTCTAAATCCAATACATTTATATTCATTTTCATCTTTTTTTTTCTAAAAAGATGAAAATGAATTTTGAATCTTTAGAGCACTCCATATATTTACGAAATAGATAAAAATTTTAATTAAATAGATGTTATTCAGGTAAACTTTGCTTTGAAGCGACTATTCCCTAGATACACACGCGTGAGATTTTTTTTATTTTAAATGAAATCAATTTGAAAAAGACCTAAAGTTAGCGATTTATCAATAGGTAATGTTGCTCCAATACCTAACCAAAGGGCCACTACAGTACCAATCAAAAAGACCGTTGTCGCGACGGGCCGCCGAAATGGATTTTGAAATTTATTAACATTCTCTAAAAAGGGTACTGTTAATAATCCCGCAGGGACTGAAACCATTAAAAGAACACCCAATAACTTATTGGGTACTGTACGAAGTATTTGAAATACGGGAAAGAAATACCATTCCGGCAATATTTCCAAAGGAGTTGCAAATGGATCTGCAGGTTCCCCAATCATTGATGGTTCTAGAACCGCTAATCCTACATTACATGCAATAGTACCTAGAATTACTACTGGAAAGATATATAAAAGGTCGTTGGGCCATGCGGGTTCTCCATAATAATTATGACCCATTCCTTTAGATAATTTCGCTCTTAATACAGGATCATTCAGGTCAGGTTTTTTTGTTATTGGGATAGGTGGATTTTTAGAAACCCATCCTCCGAAGGAACCGGACATGATAATTTTTCACCATCCGGCTCGAGCAAGAATCAAACGAACCAAAAGGATCCATATAAAAACTCGATATGTCTCAATAGTATAAAATTATATATTATCCATATCTACATGTTATCTATATCTACAATGAATGGTTTGATGTAATAAAAATTTGACTGGATTCTTTTTCCAGAGTTTCAATTATCCATTGTAAGGAATTCGATTTTTACAAGTAAATGCTCCATACCCAAGTAGGCCCACAAAGGGGATCATGACCAAGTGCTTTTTGGGTCGTCTCGGACCTTTCAATTAGCCCTTATCTCCAAATCTCAAAAAAAAAATATCAAGACTTTTTTCATACAAAGGATTTACTTGTTACTAATATAGTTTAGCCCCTCTTATTCTTTAGATCTCTTGTTTCACTCCGATAGTATCATAAATTGGGTCGATGCAGAGGAAATGACTACATTTCCATACTATTAAGTATATTAAACAAAAGTATTCAAGATAAAAATTGATAAAACTAAGTAAATTAAGTATACGTAAGTAAAATTACTAAAATAGAATAGAATATGGATTGTGGATTCGACCACATCGCTTATTCTACTTTACTGGATTTTACGGAGTCTGTTAATGCACGACATGATTAGGTCTGATCATAGAAAAAATTCTCTTCAAACAAACCAGCCTAGCCTCTGGATGAGGCTTACACAGTGGTTGGAACAAAGACACATTTGGTTGTAAATTGAAATGTGGCGGATAAAGTAATATATCTGCATAGCCAAATCAGTAGTTCAAGTCAGACACTCCCATAATCCATCTTTCTTTTAGTGGAATTCACTTCAACTATTCATGTCAACTAAATAATATAATTTTTTGAGTTGAAGGGAAATATCTAAATATATGTCTTATTCGTTTCAATAATCCATATTTATAGCAATGAAATACTTTTTTTCCTCCCCCAAGCACAATTAGTCATTCCAAATATCTATGATTTATATTCTCTATAAAGGACCTGAAATACCTTGCTTACGTATCATTGGAAAGTGCATTAACATAAAAACGGCAGTAAGAAGTGGTAATACAAAAGTATGTAAACTATAAAAACGAGTCAAAGTGGATTGTCCTACACTAGCACTTCCACGTAATAATTCTACCAAAGGAGATCCAATTACAGGAATAGCGTCTGGGACACCAGTTACAATTTTAACTGCCCAATAACCAATTTGGTCCCAGGGTAAGGAATAACCAGTTACTCCAAAAGATGCAGTCAAGACACCAAGAACCACACCCGTAATCCAAGTCAATTCACGAGGTTTTTTAAAGCCGCCGGTAAGATACACACGAAATACGTGTAGGATCATCATTAGGACCATCATACTTGCCGACCATCGATGAACTGATCGTATTAACCAACCAAAGTTAGCTTCAGTCATTATGTATTGAACAGAAGCAAAAGCTTCAGTAACGGTCGGACGATAGTAAAAAGTCATAGCAAACCCCGTAGCTACTTGTACTAAAAAACAAGTAAGTGTAATTCCTCCTAAACAATAAAATATGTTGACATGGGGCGGAACATATTTACTAGTTATATCATCCGCAATAGCCTGAATCTCGAGACGCTCTTCGAACCAATCATAGACTTTATTGAGATAGGTAAACCAGAGGGATTCCCCCTCCGAGAACCGTATATGAGAATTTCCTCTCGTACAGCTCAAACAGAAAGACCCAAATATTAGTTGAAACGGATATGTGGAATAGAAACTTCTTAATTGATTCAAGAAGCTTCTTTCAAGACGAAGATGTCGATAGGAAAAGAAAATTCCGAAAACTTTTCTTTGCGGTTAGAATGCCAAAATATCAAGTTGGCTCATTAATTTTGTGATGTTGATCATTACAGGCCTCTTGAATCTTCTAGTTACCCATTTTTTGCTTTATTTTTTTTTTATTTGTATGGAATGTGTAAGTAGCCTTACCCTCGTTTTCGTTATTATGATAGGATTTTTCTTGTTAAGATCCTATAAATCGATTAAAACCACAGATTCATACTAGAACCACGATGATTCAGTAAAACCTATAAAATATAAGTAGTCCAAAGATTCCCTGAGTAAGAATCATTGTATCATCACTTATTCAATGAATAATGACTAAAAATAAAAAGAAAAGAAGGGTTTGTTCTTTGATCAAAATAAGTATAGACAAAGAATTGAAAGAAGAAAAATCTTTCAATTTGTATCTTCGAATTCTTTGAAATTCTTTTGAGTTCGGTCGCGCGATCTGAATATTAAATATGAATCATAGTTCTAATACTTAGTAATCTATTTCATATATTCCGTGCTCCAGATACTAGAATAAAGATCTGACGAAGTAAAAAACCATCTCTATCAAGATGAGAGACCCATTCTCTGTATTATCAATAGGATCCAGCCTAACAAGTCGCACACTCATATTCCAGAAATACAGAAAAAAATTCCACGATCGAACTACCAAAATAAAATAGAATTGGAGTGGGCTAAAAAAAAAATCCGAGACCTACTTTTATATTGAAAAGCTAAGACTTAGCACTTCTCGTAAATCTAATTCATTGAAATCCCATCCAGTAAAACTGAAGAATTATAAATCTCCAAAATAATAGATAGGAATATCGCAAATAAAGCCATTGCGACACCCATCAAAGGAGTAGTTCCCCATCCAGGAGCTACTTTACCATATTCCGAATTCAATGGTTTCAATAACGACCCTGCACCAGTTCGTCTTGGACGAGATCTAGAACTACCTTCAACGCTTTGTGTAGCCATAAATCCTATTTTGTATTAATTGAGCTTGGTTGACTTTGTATACCATTCCGTTGTAAATAAATGATCTTATCATAGATCCATTGGGGTCTTGAAATTATAGAATAATGGAAACAGCAACCCTAGTCGCCATCTTTATATCTGGTTTACTTGTAAGTTTTACTGGGTATGCCTTATATACTGCTTTTGGGCAACCCTCTCAACAACTAAGAGATCCTTTTGAGGAACACGGAGACTAGTTGAAGTAATGAGCCTCCCATATATATTTATATGGGAGACTCATTACTTCAATTACGACTTAAGCTAATGAAAAATCATTTCATCTTTTTATTTTTTAGTTGGAACTTTAGGCGGTTCTCGAAAAAAGATAGCGAAAAAAATTATTCCTAGAGTCGAGACTAAGAGGAATGTATAAACCAATGCTTCCATAGATTCGATCGTGGTTTACAATTATAGCTTCCATACCTGTTTATTTAGGATCATTCCCTATATGTTCCCTGTAGAAAATATAAAAAAGAGCAAGATTCGAAATGTCTTCGGTATCTTATTTCAAAGTGAAATTAAAAAAAGAAAATAGAAGCGAAAAATAACAGAGAAATCTTGTATCAAACTACTTGTCTTTTTGTAGTTGGATCTCCTAGTTTTTGAAATGCTCCAAATTCCACTTGAGCATCTAAATCTGGATCAATACCAGCAAAAACGTCTCTGAACAAGGTCCTAGCACCATGCCAAATGTGTCCGAAGAAGAAAAGCAGAGCAAACGAAGCATGTCCAAAAGTAAACCAACCCCTTGGACTACTACGAAAAACACCGTCTGATTTCAAAGTAGCACGATCTAATTCAAAAATTTCACCCAATTGAGCGCGTCTAGCATATTTTTTCACAGCAGTAGGATCACTATAACTGACTCCATTTAGTTCGCCACCATAAAACTCAACCGTTACCCCTACTTGTTCAACACTATACTTTGATTCGGCTCTTCGAAAAGGAACATCCGCTCTAACAATTCCGTCTCCGTCTACCAAAACAACTGGAAATGTTTCAAAAAAAGTAGGCATACGGCGTACAAAAAGTTCCCGTCCTTCTTTATCTCTAAAGATAGGATGTCCTAACCACCCAACTGCTATTCCGTCCCCATTGTCCATTGAGCCTGCTCGGAACAATCCACCTTTTGCCGGATTATTTCCGATATAATCATAAAAAGCCAATTTTTCAGGAATTTTAGACCAAGCTTCAGATAAACTTTGATTTTCAGCTAATCCGGCACCCACTCTTCTATATATTTCTTGCTGGAAATATCCTTGATCCCATTGATAACGAGTGGGACCAAATAGTTCAATCGGCGTAGTTGCTGAACCATACCACATAGTTCCAGCAACAACAAAAGCTGCAAAAAAGACAGCAGCAATACTACTGGAAAGGACAGTTTCAATATTTCCCATACGTAATCCTTTGTATAGACGTTGAGGCGGACGGACACTAAGATGGAATAGGCCCGCCAATATGCCCAATGTTCCTGCTGCAATATGATGAGAAGCTATTCCTCCCGGAACAAAAGGATCAAAACCTTCCACACCCCACGCTGGATTTACAGCTTGTACCTTTCCAGTTAGTCCATAAGGATCGGACACCCATATTCCAGGACCAAATAAGCCAGTTACATGAAAAGCACCAAACCCAAAACAAGCCACCCCTGAAAGAAATAAATGAATTCCAAAAATCTTAGGCAAATCCAAAGAGGGCTTTCCTGTACGTTCATCGCAAAATATTTCTAGATCCCAATACACCCAATGCCATATAGCTGCCAAGAAGCACAAGCCGGAAAACACAATATGCGCCCCAGCCACACCTTCATAACTCCAAATACCCGGATTCGTTATAGTTCCTCCGGTAATATTCCAACCACCCCATGAATTGGTTATTCCTAAACGAGTCATGAAAGGTATAACAAACATACCTTGTCTCCACATTGGATCAAGAACGGGGTCAGAAGGATCAAAAACCGCTAATTCATATAGAGCCATCGAACCGGCCCAACCAGCAACCAAAGCTGTATGCATTATATGAACAGACAGCAAACGACCGGGATCATTCAATACGACGGTATGAACACGATACCAAGGCAAACCCATGGAAATACCTCTTTAGCAACGAAAAGTAGACACTATGTAACTTTATTGCACTGAAAAACAGTATGTTATGGCCCCCCCTTTCACTTGATTAGCCTGGGGAAAGTCTTTTTTTCTCTTCCTTTAGTTTTAGTAATGTAAAAATATAAAATTCTGTTTGTAGGAACAAAGAGAAGCAGATCTATTCTATATCCAATAAGTACCAATACGCAATACCCCGGTTTCCATGAGTGAATGCATACAGATTTGTTCATCATTCAACGGACCTATTAGTCAAAATTGGATTTTATTCATTTTTTCTTCCTTTAAGGATAATAAATATTATTAAGACAATAAATTCATTGTTACGCTTTCACATCAAAGTAAAATAGAGTACTTAATTTTTTTAGTTCATTTAATGCCTATTGGTGTTCCAAAAGTACCTTTTCGAAATCCTGGAGAGGACGATTCCGTTTGGATTGACGTATAGTGCGGCTTGTCAGATATATTGGGTCATATGGGATTTCCCCGTTCTCTCCCCCGATCGGGATACCCTCCGTTTCGCCCAAGAAAGATTGATGAAATCGTCAAAAAAATTGGAGCGTGAAATGCAATGAAGTACAATTACATCTATGCGTCGGCGGTAGCAAAATGAATATTAATATTATCAATTAGAATAATTTATGGTTGGCGTGGTTGGACTTAGACCAATAAAATGAAGTATCAAGGCTCCGTTTAGAAAAAAAACCAATTACTAATATCTATCCATATTAAGGAAGTTGTAGCAAAAAGATGCGGTATTGGGGGCATTTGCCCTATATGTGCAAATAAAAATCGGGCGAATCCTTACTCGGAGTAGAGTGCAAACCTAAAAGAATTGAAAAACCCCATTCAGGAACAAGAAAACGCCATCGTGATTTCACTCGGATCTCGATGAAAGACTCAATCAATGAGAAGCTAGTTTGAGAAGTTTAGTAAAATTTTTTTATGGCTAAACGGGGCAAAACTCATCTTTCTTGAAAAATGGAAGAAAAACCCCTTCGTTAGAAGAGAAGTTAAAGAGTACTTACTATGAAGAAAAAACAAGAAAAAGGGAGGGTTAGAGGCTACACATTGATTCTTATTTTTTGTTTTCGCGATTTTTTGAACCGTATGCATTTAAAAGGTGCATGTACGGTTCCTAAAGGATAGAGTTTTATCCTAATCAACCGACTTTATCGAGAACGATTACTTTTTTTAGGTCAAGATGTTGATAGCGCGATCTCGAATCAACTTATTGGTCTTATGGTATATCTAAGTATAGAGAGTGAGAGCAAAGATTTGTATTTGTTTATAAATTCTCCCGGTGGATGGGTAATACCCGGAATAGCTATTTATGATACTATGCAATTTGTGCGACCAGATGTACAGACAGTATGCATGGGATTAGCCGCTTCAATGGGATCTTTTATCCTGGTCGGGGGAAAAATTACCAAACGTTTAGCATTCCCTCACGCTTGGCGCCAATGAGTTTTTTTATTTGTATTTGAAAGAAAAAAGAAAACTATGCCTTCGCCATATGCAATATGAATATTAAGTAATAATAGCATGGCATTTTGAATTCGATAGAAAAAAATTCTTGTGGTTTCATTTTAAATATTAAATTATGTATCGAAAGAGTAGTATGAGATATGAGGGTATTCCCGATTTTATCTTATTTATCGCGAGCCCTTTTCAGCGTCACAAACTTTTTTGTTTTCACGCCGGAAGGCTCTTAATACTCTTTATGTTATGTTATGAAAGAGTACAAAAAAACAAAATTCTACGCTTTTTCAGTATTTTTTATTTGAAAAAAAAAAGAAACTTTGGGATTGTTAAATCACCAATCAAATAAAGCAGCGGGGCCACCATAGTATTTTGGTTTTTTCACTCCTACCAAGGGAAGGGTGGTTATTGGACCATTTACCGATCTAGGCCCGATAGACTCTATATTTTTCTTCGATGAAAGGAAAGGTAAAAGCGAATCTATTATGGAGCCGTATGCAATACGCAAACAATGCCTGTACGGTTTTTCAATTCTATCTTTTTTCTTATTATTCTTGCCTTATCATCTGAGACAAAGTAACCATTTATTATCTTATATCATCAGGGTAATGATCCATCAACCTATTGCTGGCTTTTATGCGGCACAAATAGTAGAATTTGTCCTGGAAGCGGAAGAATTACTGAAACTGCGCGAAATCCTCACAAGGGTTTATGCACAAAGAACGGGCAAGCCCCTATGGGTTGTATCCGAAGACATGGAAAGGGATGTTTTTATGTCCGCAACAGAAGCCCAAGCTCATGGAATTGTGGATCTTGTAGCAGTTGCATAAAAAACCGAGCAAATTGCGATTTGATATTTTTTTCTTAATGTTTAATATTCTTTCTATTAATAGAAATTAATAGAAAGAAGGAATTCATAATAATCATTCGGTTAGGATCGATCTAAACCGACTTATTATACATACAATTCAACATGCCAACTATTAAACAACTTATTAGAAACACAAGACAGCCAATCAGAAATCTCACAAAATCCCCCGCTCTTAGGGGATGCCCTCAGCGCCGAGGAACATGTACTAGGGTGTATGTGCGACTCGTTTAGATCATGAGCTGGGACAAGAGAGAGGAAACCGATTTTACACTATTCGTGATCGGGTCGGATAAGGATAAATAGTATTAGAAAGGGGGAACCTTCTTCAATATCTAAAAAAAAATATCTAAAAAAAAGATCTATTCTATCCTTGTATTGTGTATCCCATTTATGGTTTCCATCGGTATAAATTCAATCACCTCAATTTTAAATTTCAAATGAGAAAAAATTCCCCATTGATAATAAAGGATTATCCATTAAGCCGGGGAAAATCCTATTTAAATTAAAAGGCCGAAAATTGGCACTGCTCTTGCAAGAACGGACTTAGAGGGCCCGCTAATTAGCTAATCTTCATAATTAAATACCGTTACTGTATAGATCGATCTCGTTATGAAAGACCTATTACTGGATAATTCAGGGGTAGAGCCAAAGAGTGTGAACTGTACAACTTAACAATAGCATTGATTAAATGAAAGAAGGAGCTCCGGTGTATAGAGAAGACCTCACCGTTTAATAAGAAACCATAGAAACGATGGAACCCACAATTTCTTTATCCATTTATATTTACTTTGATACCTAGTACTAGTATCAATGCAATTTTATTATTTCGAGGCGAAATGCTTAGAAAAAAATCGTGGTTGGGAAGGTTATAGTAGCAAAAGCCCTTGGAATTTTTTTTTATATATTGGAAGAATCCGTTTTGTTATTATAGAAAAGGGTAAAAGAATAACTGAAAGAAAAAAAAATCGATTAGTTATTAATCAAAGTTTCTTTATTCAATGACCAGAATTAGACGAGGATATATAGCTCGAAGGCGGAGAACAAAACTTCGTTTATTCGCATCAAGCTTTCGCGGGGCTCATTCAAGACTTAGTCGAACTATTATTCAACAAAAAATAAGAGCTTTGGTTTCAGCCTATCGGGATAGAGATAGACAGAAAAGGAACTTTCGCCGTTTGTGGATCACTCGAATAAATGCAGGAATTCGTGAGAATATGGTATCTTCAAGTTATAGTAGATTAATAAACAATTTGTATAAGGGACAATTGCTCCTTAATCGTAAAATACTTGCACAAATAACTATATTAAATAGGAATTGTCTTTATATGATTTCTAATGACATCTTCAAATAAAGAGAGGTCATCAGAATATTTTCCATGGAATTCTTTGTAGAATGAATTCCGGGAAGGTAGAATAGAAATTAGTATGGTAAAATACGATGATAATATGATCAAGTAGGTAAATTGAGCAAAACTTTCAAAAAAAAAGAGTTATTCTTTCCAATTCGTTTTTTCTTAGGCCACAACAAAAAAATATCGATTTTCCAATTTTTTGGACAAAACATCAATCTAGGGTTGAGTTCGGATTGGAATTTTGATTCACGTGAAGAAGAAATCTATTTTTTTCTGGTTCTAAGACCAGCAGTTCTAGCAACCAACTCGCTTTTTTCAAATTGTTTTTCATTATTAAGAAACGGTAACGAAGATAAAATACGAGCTTGTTTTATAGCAATAGTAATTAATCGTTGTTGTTTTAAAGTCAACCTAGTTACCCGTCTCGATAATATTTTTCCTTGTTCACTAATAAATCGACTAATTAAACTCATGTTTCTATAATCAATCCGATCCCCCGATTGGATCGGGGGCAAACGCCTACGAAAAGATCGCTTGGATTTAATAAAAAATCGCTTGGATTTATCCATGGTTTTTTCCTTATTTCGAAAAGACTATTTCTTAATTCTAATTTTAAATTTCTAAAGCATTTTTGATCCGATCAAATGAAATAGGATTTCGCTTCTTTCTATTTATTATTTATTTATAGTTAATATATTTAGTAAATATATTACTATTATCTATATTATTCATTATATATCTTATTATATATGTTTTTTTGATTTAGTCTCTGTTTGTGGTGACATAAGTCCCTCCCTACAACTCATGAATTAAGAATTCTCACAGTAACAAGGTCTACTCGACATGAATTAGGAGTTAACGAAACCTTTCAGAAGAATCTTTTTTCACGAAGTTATCAAACAATATTATCAACTAATCAGAATTTCGTTATTAAACCATGGTATTTGATTCACCAAATACATCATTATTGTATACTTTTTCATATGTATAGCGCAACCCAATCTTTGTTTTTTCAAGTTTCTAATCTTTATTTGAATCGACTAAATAATCATAAATTTCCTCTTGATAGTAATATATGTATGTTATATATCTAAATCCTAGATGTGAAAATATACCGAATTCGTCTCTGAAAAAATCAAAATAGAACTAAATAATATTAATATAATATTAATACAATAATAGCATAATAGATAGGTGGAAATCGATCTGCAGAAAAGTCCCAAATAATAAATCGTAAATAGAGTTCAAGTTCGAATTTCATATATAATATAGATAATATTGTCTAGAATGATAGAAAATGAAAGGTTTCAAGAAGCCTTTTTATTCATCTACTTGATATTTTGAAAATGAGTCAATTTTCAAGTTAAATTGACTCATTGAAATTGAAAATAAAAGTAAACAATCAAATTGGATTCGCGTGATGGTCTCAACGAAATCGAAGACTAACTCGCATTTCTTTTTGAATTAATCGATCAATTTGCTTAGAGCATTAATATATTTTGGACTAAAAAATTTGACATAATTATTTTATTTATTATTATTTTCTTTATTATTATGAGAATCAATCCTACTACTTCCGGTCCTGGGGGTTCCGCAGTTGATAAAGCAACCCCGGGACGTATCGCTCAAATCATCGGCCCGGTACTAGATGTAGCTTTTCCCCCGGGGAAGATGCCTAATATTTACAATGCTCTCCTAGTTAAGGGTCAAGACCCCGCCGGTCAAGAAATTAATGTGACTTGTGAAGTACAACAATTATTAGGAAATAATCGAGTTCGGGCTGTAGCTATGAGTGCTACAGATGGTTTAATGAGAGGAATGGAAGTGATTGACACGGGAACTGCCCTAAGTGTTCCTGTCGGCGGAGCAACTCTAGGACGAATTTTCAACGTGCTTGGAGAACCTATTGATAATTTAGGTCCGGTAGATACTTGCACAACATCCCCTATTCATAGAGCTGCGCCCGCCTTTATACAGTTAGATACAAAATTATCTATTTTTGAAACAGGAATTAAAGTAGTAGATCTTTTAGCCCCTTATCGTCGTGGTGGAAAAATCGGATTGTTCGGGGGAGCTGGGGTAGGTAAACCAGTACTAATTATGGAATTAATCAACAACATTGCGAAAGCTCATGGGGGTGTATCCGTCTTTGGCGGAGTAGGCGAACGTACTCGTGAAGGAAATGATCTTTACATGGAAATGAAAGAATCTGGTGTAATTAATGAAGACAATATTGCAGAATCCAAAGTAGCTCTAGTCTATGGTCAGATGAACGAACCGCCGGGAGCTCGTATGAGAGTTGGATTGACTGCGCGGTACCCACTGAAACCTTTGTTAGGAAAACCGAGAGGGGAAGCTGTGGCATTGATCCGCCAGCTGGAAGCGAAAGAACCTATCTTTCTTGCCCCTGAGCCTTGATTCGGCAAAATCACTGTCAGCAACCTTTTAGAAAAAGAAAGAGGATCGTGCCTTAGGTCAATGAAATGTTCCAGGAAAGCACCAAAGGGGATAACCAACTTCAAATAGAACGAGTGAAACTGATAATAGATAGAGTTTTAGGTAGTTCACCAGTCAAACCACACCCTTGAATGAATCTCAATCGAATGGGACTCGTTTTGAATCCTTCGCGATGGAAATGCCCAAACCAACATAGCTTGCTAGCTGAAGGAGCTGCCAGAGCAGAGGTTATGCAATATACTTGACTTATTCGATTATCCTTCTTCACCGTTCGAAAAGAAGTGGATTGGCGCACGTCTTCCTATGAAATATATTCTATTTCCCCATCAAGCCCGTTTCCTTACTCGAGATATCTGAGATAGCCCCGTCAACTAATAACTTATAATAGACGAGCCCCTTATCCTTCTGTTCTGAACTTGCTTCTTGGTACAAGGGGAGGGGCGAAGAATTCTAGTTCTCGTTCTGCTTCTGCCTAATCTTTAGTACCGCTTTGAGATTGAATCTTTAGGACCATGCGCTTAAGAGGACCTTTTTTTTGGATTGGAAGTGAATCCCGAACCTGCCCTCTTTGATTGAGTTCTATTATCATGTAGTTCCTGTCCTGGGAAAATTTCAATGCTTATTTGAGCATTTCATTGACTTGTCATACCTGAACCTCTCTGAATACATAACAAGGGATCAAAGAGGTTCTGCGCTCACGCCCTATCGTTATCAAAGAGGTTTCGTTGCCCTAATCTCCTATTACCGTTTCGCTGCTTCTTCTTCCCCTTCGCCTGAGAATGAATACTCAATTTCCTTCGATGGGAGCTTACTCTTACTTAAGTAAGAGGGAAACTTGCTTGCCCACTGGAAAGACTGAAACTTGAAAACGGAGGTAAGATTTTCTCCCTCTGTATATCAGAAACCATTACACCAGCCTTCTTTAGAAGATCTTGAGATTTTTCTTATTATTCCTAAAAAAGAGGACCTTGTAACTAGGGTGAGAAGCGAGCTGAGCTGCCACGGATTGCTCCTTCGATTGCTTGAAACCTCTTTGCTGAAAGTGAAAGTGAAAACATGAGAAAGACTAGAGATCCAGCTGGAGGATGCCCACTTTGAGAATCAATATCAGAGTCAGCAACCTTTGAGTAGCCTAGCCCATGAATGAGTAGAAGAGGGTTCCTCGCCCAATTCAATAGGGATTCTAAATAAAAAGCAATCTCTATCGACCAAGCCCTTCCCACTAATCCCGTCTGCGCTTTTCTAAGATTCGGTTGCTACCCCGAGACGAAAGCCTTGGACAGCTATCCTTGCCCGCGAGAAAGCGTTCTAACGATAAGCTGAAAGTCCTTACTAAACTCTCAGGACAGAATGACAGACCGACCCTTCCCCTTCGCTACCATCGGAAGGTTTAGGCAAGCTGAAGGAAGTGGGTCAAATGCCATTTATAGAGTATAGGATTCCGTGTTAAAGGGGAGGTCTAAGAAAGAGTAAAATACGCTCTTTAACGAAAGGAGAATGGATAGAGTGATAGGGGCTTCAAAACTAGGTTGCTCACCTGTATCTTACTACAAGGCAGGTTCCGTAGTGGGAGTAATTCGAGGCTTTCAAATGCATGGTAAGAAAGCTCCGGGGAGTTCAATCCTTTAGGAAGCCATTTCAGGTAATGAGAACGGCTGCATTTAGCCGGTGGTGATCTCACTTTCCCGGGAATGAATGCTGTTATAGATGGGGAACGCTTCTAATGAAGGAAATGGTATAGTCCACATCCTCTACCCCAAGCGGGACTCTTTTCTATTGATTAGTTTACGGCATCACCCGAATCAAATAAGTCAAGTTAATGGGCAATCTTTGACGTAAGGAGACGGGCTCAAGTAGTGAATGAAAGAGACCATGCATCTACCAGGAAAGAGACAAGATCCGATTGGATAACAACTCTGTGCACAACAGCCGATTTCTCAACTGACCTAGTAGCTTGCAAGATCTTATTTTCAAGTTCCTTTTTTTTTCTGTGCTTGGCAATGGCTCTTTTCTCTTTCAAGAGCGGATAGGATAAGAGAAGATTTACAGTTATAAGATGATTATACGCATCTATTGTAATGCTTGCACCCATAGCTCGGTGTGGTGAGGTTTAGCTCTTCCGTCCCCTAAGCGCCCGGACACCGATAGCGCACTAGCCGTAAGAGCAAATAGTAGACAAGAAAGAATGAAAGTCATGATAAGGCTTAGGAGGTGTCGAATACGGCCACTCTAAGCCTCGACCAGTTAGACAACTCCCTATTTATAGCATATACCGCAGTGGTAAAGATGAGATGGGTCAGTAATCGGCAAGACGTGGCATGTGAGTAGCCCTTAACCCATAGGTCCTTTCCGACGGTGCTGTGGCCCAGAGCTAGCGAAATGACCTATGTTACGTCCTAACTGGATGTCTCATAGCGAGATATGATCTAACTCCCCCGGTGAAACTTCACTAGCTACAATGTGAAAAGCTGCCCTCTACCTTTCGAAATTCAATCTTTTGATAACACTTTATTTTATGGCTGTTCTATGAATTCTTTTTCTAGTAGGGCTAAAGTGACTCTATCACGAGTCAACAGGGAGTGAAGTGATCTTCGGGAATGAAACTAGTTCAATGAACCTATATGGTAACTCTTGAAAGGGATCGATCAACTCTAGAGGACTCGATGGCTGTTAAGCCCAGTGAATAACCTAATTCAGAGAGATAACCCGGTCTTTAGACACTCGCCCTACTTCTAAAGATAGATAGAAAAGGTTGGGGAGTCCCAGCTGCTGAGGTGGCGTAGTGACAGGTGAGAGCAATAATAACAAAAGCAGCGGAAGATCCTGCAGTAGTATATTCGGTTGTTTGCGGTGGAATAGATTCAAGCGTCCGTGCCAGTTGATCCAGAGCAAATAGGCGTTGACTTAGTTGCTTTTGCAGTTGATTTCGATGTTGATCTAACGCAACTTTCCGGTGATAGTCGCAGCACCAGGAGCTTTCAAGGGAGGCAGACATGTATAGAAGGTAGCTGAAGTGGCATACCTTCCGGATCGAGGGGAGCCCGAGCGGCATTAAGAATAGCTTCTAAAAGGAGAACTGGCTAACGAAGCCTAGCTCGTTTAGGTCCTGCCATTCCTACCCATTTATCATTGGCCAACTCGGGAATCAGCGTCACCCTACTTTATCTTTATCTTTCAAATGAATTGATTCGCCATTTTATGAGCTCACTAAGCCGTAAGCCAACGCTATATCTCTTGCTATGGCTCTTAGCTCATTATTGGGATATCTGGTCAGCACACTAAGAATGAAGTAGTACGATCGGCGGGCGTTGGAAAGAGAGCTTCAGTACAATTATCGCTGCTTAGCGAAGTGAGAAAGCACCTTTCCGCTCTTTGCTTTGCGTATGCTGGTTCGAAATCTACTTCTTTCGCTGTCTTTTTTGTACTTGTTTGGAATCTTTCTCTTGGTATGAGGTTTGAAACCCCGCTTTTTCCTTTGAGCTTGCATGCTGCCGGCTCATCCATTGCTGATGATTTTCTGAAAGTAGGTTCAAATGACTTAATGGCAATTGGTTTGGTAAATGCCGTAATCGATGTCGCTTCGTTCCTCTCACTTTGTTCGAGCTCTAACCTCTCCCTATCGGTCGAGTGACTTTCTTCCTCTCCTTTCAGTCGAGCAACTTCGTCCCTCTCCCTATCGGTCGAGTGACTTTCTTCCTCTCCTTTCAGTCGAGCATATTGATAACCTCTCCTTTCCCCACTTCTCCTGAGGCTAGAATCGGGAGTCGGCGTCGAGAAGGGGGGGTACGGAAGTAGCGACGGGTTAATCGAAGAGTCTTTAGAGCGGATTCCTGAAGAATAACAAGCAAGTAGTTGATCCCGGTGAAAGGTCGCGAAGAGGATAGATCTTTTAACAGCAGAAAGGGAAAAGACTTATCTGAGAACATATCCATAGTCTAAGTATAGTTACGGTTTCAGGTCTTCTTCTTATCGTTCGTGTGGATGGTTATGGCGTATCGTAGATCTCCCTTTGCTTTTCCAGGCTCCAGGCTAGAGAAAGGCTATTCCATATCAGCAGCTATGCTAGCTCGAAAAGGACTGAAAGAACTGACATTAGGTCGTGACTTGAGGGTGAGGGGAAGGAGCGGTAAAGAAGTAAGGAGGTCGACTAGTTCTTAGCTTGATTGAACTCAGCATAGTTAGAGATTAGAGGAGATAGCTTTTCGTTGATAAAGAGACTAGGATTTTATTTAGTAGTCAATGCCTAAGTTTGGTTTTCCCATTTTGATAGGAGTAGGTGCTTTCTGGGGCCAGGCATTACTCAATTTAAAGTGAGTAAACAGAAATCCATACTCGATCTCATAGATACATATAGAATTCTGTGGAAAGCCGTATTCGACGAAAGTCGTATGTACGGCTTGGAGGGAGGTCTTTCATATCTTTCGAGATCCACCCTACAATATGGGGTCAAAAAGCCAAAATAAATGATTTTATTAGCCCCTAGAAAAAGAAAACGGATTCTTGAGAACCCCTTGCACGCTCCTGTCACGTCGAGGTACTGCAGAAGAAAAAACTGCAAAATCCGATCCAATTTATCGTAATTGATTAGTTAACATGCTGGTTAAGCGTATTCTGAAACACGGAAAAAAATCATTGGCTTATCAAATTATCTATCGGGCCGTGAAAAAGATTCAACAAAAGACAGAAACAAATCCACGATCTGTTTTACGTCAAGCAATACGTGGAGTAACTCCCGATATAGCAGTAAAAGCAAGACATGTAGGCGGATCGACTCATCAAGTTTCGATTGAAATAGGATCCACACAAGGAAAAGCACTTGCCATTCGTTGGTTATTAGGGGCCTCCCGAAAACGTTCTGGCCGAAACATGGCTTTCCAATTAAGTTCCGAATTAGTGGATGCTGCCAAAGGGAGTGGCGATGCCATACGCAAAAAGGAAGAGACTCATAGAATGGCAGAAGC